CTTTAAGAGCAGATGTGTGAAAGATTTCTATATTTATATTTACAGTCATCTTGTGGACGAGCTGAAGGAGCTGGCACTGCCTTTCCTGCAAATCCTCCTACAGCACATCTGCTTCCAGGTGAATTCTCCAGCAAACGCTCGGCATAAATTACTTTCTGCAAACACAGAATTCCAGGTTTTTTCGTATCGGCTGCAAAGTTGCATTGTTATCATTAATGTTTGTGTTGTGCTGATACACAGATGGTTGAAAAGAATGAGTATCGAAGCCACGGAGCTCAGGCTGTGGGTATGCTGACGTCTCAGATGGCAGGTGAAGACTATGCTCGCTTCATTAAGTGGCTGTGTAACTTCTCCAGAAGCTCAAAGGTGAGGTTTCACTTCCACATGCTGACGTAGACACTGCAGGTTTCTGTCTCATCATCATCTTGAGCTACTCTGAAGTCAAACAGCTGCTCAAATGATTTTAGTGTCTCGATAAAATTTGTGCGACTTTGCTGAAGTTGCAGCACACGCTCAAAGATCATGATGAACTCAGAGTGTCCATCCTCCCGTGTGATACTCTGGTTGCTTATTCGGAGCATGTTTGAACTTAGCTAAATGTCAGTGAGCTCCGTCACCTTCTGTCAGTGGTGCTGACGGCGATGGCCTCTGCAGATGGTGCACCGGCTGTTCTCTGTGGATGTGGTGATGGTTTTGCTGGAGCAGCCAGAGAGAAGACCGGAGGAGTGTCGAGATCCGGATCTCGTTTGTTTCCTGATGCACAGCTCCCTTATCCAGAACCTGCTCTTTGCTCGACGGATGGACGAATCTCCCACTGTCCAGGGCCACGCTCTGAACTGCCTGGCTCAGTGCCTGGAGCTGCCTTCGCTCAATGCCACCAGAGCCATCCACAACCTCTTCTCTGCCAGTGAGACACCCCCACACACAGGAGTCTAAAGGGTAAAGACACAGCATTCAGACTAAACCATTAAACTTGTGTTTTCTCTCTGCTCGGTTAAGCTGGGACCCAGACGGTGCTGGAAGGTGAAATCACAGAAGGTAAAGTTTGTTTTTGTTATATTTCCTGTAGTCGGGTTAAAAAACAAAAGTCTGGCTCTCTATCAATCTTACAGGTATTATATGTCCTGGAAAAAAGGCGGAAACTTTGTCACACGACCACAAAACATGAAGAAAGTGACCGTCAGTGTCACGCTCTGATCGCAGTTTCCCACAGCTGATAGCTTATCTAAAAACTCGAATAATAACAATAGCAGGTGGCCTACGTACACACAGCTGAAGCATGTAGTCCCGGGAGTGCAACAGCTTTAAAGTGTCATTTTGATATGGATCAGTCAGCCTGTACATCGAGGCCGTCGGTGTGTACAGTCATGGTTAAAAGACAGTAGAAGCTTTTATCAGTTCTAAACTTCTGTTTAAATCCAGCCTGAGATCAGTAAACACTGAAACAACATGCAGAAGCAGTGTGTGGAAACCTACGTTTCCATCACCCTGAGGTCATCTTTTAGAGGTCAGAGTTCATCCATCTCTTTCCACTTATAATTCAGGTTTCTTTACACCTCATTGTTGTGCTTTTCAACCACACGAGGGTTTACCTGGAGGTAACGATGTTTCACCTCAACATTCAGATTCACTCTGATTTGCTAACATGTGCAGGATAAGAACATTTCTATGACAACATTAGAC